ATGATTTGCTAAGTGATGTGATGCTATGGTGTATAGAATGCCCCTGAAACCCTATAAAAACTCTGCTGAAGGAAGGGTCATGGCTCTCAACTCTGACTCGCTGCATCGGTGATGGTTGTGAGTCCAGGCTTGAGCTTGTAATAAATGACTCTCCTGTGCTTATATCAATATGGGCTCCTTGGTAGTCTTCGGGGATCCTTATCTAGGCATAAGATCTGGGGGCTCATCTGGGATCCCCCAGACCCAGGACCCCCAAACCGGAGAGTCGGACCCTGATCAGTGAATTGTGTCTGTCTGCTTTCACTTCTGTGTGGTTGTGGTTCATTTTGGGGGGCCCAGAATTTGAGAATTTGAAAATCTGTTCAGGCTGACATGAGACCTAGGCCGACATGCTGGAGGGTCGTCAGTCAGGGGTCCTGGAAGATGTTCCTGGCCCTTCTGAGAGGGTGTGGAAGCCCCCCATACCTCTGGAAATTCTGATTGAACCAGGCGGGTTGCTCCAGTGGACTGGCCTAGACCCAGCGTTCTGGTTCCGTTTCTGCCTCAGGTCGAGGGAATTTGTTGTTTGTCTTTTTGTGTGTCAGCTTTGCTTTTGTGTCTGTCTGTTGCTTTGTATTTCTGTGTGATGGACAGACTCAAACCACTCCCCTTTCACTTCTGACTGACCATTTTAAAGAGGTTAAAAGGAGAGGACAAGACTTAAGTGTGGAGGTCAGACACATTCTGTAGTGCCCAGTGGCTCTAACAGGATCTTAGCCTTAGGCCTTAGGTGGGGGGGGGGGGGGGGGGCGGTCTGAGTACGGGGAAGAATCTGCCAGTCTGAGGGAATGGCCACTAGGGACTTATTTCCCTTGCTCCAAGATGACTGGGAATTCTCTTCCCAGTCATCTTGGAAGGTCCCTGGGTGGACGTTTGCAGGAATCTGAAAGAAAAATCCTCTGGAGGTGAGTAGAGGGGGTTGATGGGATTTGAGTCCCACTTATAAATGGTGGTGAGATGTCGCCCCAGTCACTGAGACCTGAATAGTCCCCAACTCAGACTTCGGTTGTTTTGTCTTGTTCTGTTTTAGAATTGGTACCAGTTTTAAATGCGGATCCTTGGTTTTTGTGTTTATGCTATTTATTTGAACATCTCTGGGGGAATAAAAGTTCCAGCCTCTGGCTGGGCCCAGTCACAGACCTGCTATCTCCCCCTTCCTGTGGGGCATGGAAGGTTGCTGGACTAGTTTGGTCCTCTTCAAGCCTCAGGCTGCATTTTCTCCTTGTGGAGGCTGCCAGATTGGAGGGTATAGAAGATTGTGTGCCTGGTTTGGACTTTTCAGCTGGTCCTGACAATGTGACAATGTAACATTTTGTAAAGTGCTCTTGTCTAAAATTGGGTAAAACACAGAATCAGGCCAGTTTAGTTTCAGGTGTTACCCCCCCCCCCCCACACACACACACACACACTTAGCCTTCCTCCAAATGAAGGCATTCAAAAAGGCCAATTGGTAAAATACCTGGCGAAACAAGCAAGCCTTGAAAAAAAATATGGCCTAGAAAAAGTGCTTTGTTAAAGTTTTGTCTTAAATTTTTGTCATCTGCAAGAGTAAGTTGGCAAAAAGAAAAAAAGATTACTTGCCACTGAATTTTAGAAAATATACGTACAACTGATTTTCATTTTTGTGTGCTTTAAGATCTGTGTCAATGTGTTTTGTATGTGCTTGTGAACATGTTCAAGATAAAAATTGTCCACATGTTGTAACAATTGGGTGAGTTTAAGTTTAAAGTTCAAAAGGTTATGAGGTTTGGACATTACCAAAAATTTTTAAAGAATTTTCACATTGTTTTAAAAGGCTTTTTAAGGATTCTTTAACTTAAAAATTAGAAAATCTGGTAATTTAAAATCTGGTATTTTAGAATGCATAAGGCTGTCATCAAGTTATCTGGCTTAACAAAAGGCATTGGCCTGTTTGGGATTTCGTTCCCTCTGCTAAAATTTGGGGTAAGTAATAGAAATTTAAATGTAAAGGTTTGTTTAACACTGTCAAAGACTTTACCTGTTCAGTCTGTCTAAAATTGTGTATTTCATTCAAGAACCAAGAGAAAAGAAAAGGGAAAAACTTAGAAGCCAACAGAAGACCTGTCTTTAGAAGTCAGAGGTGAACAGGCAGAATGCATGCATGGTGGGACAGGCCCTGGGGGGAGTCCATGCTGGCACAAGAGGGCAAGCTGGCACAAAGGCAGTTGTTCATTTCACCCTAAAGAGTCAGATTGGGTGTATGCCCGTTCTATAGGAAGGGCCAACTGGCCCATCTTCATCCTGTCCCTTTTCCCTGCAGACAGACACTGGAGACATGATGGTAAAAAGTAGTGATGTGATTATCTGATTAGTTTTGCTAAACCTGCCCCTTTGATGTGTTAAAATTAAAATTAAAAAGCCTTTAAAAGAGGGTTAAAAAGTTTATTTGTGTAATGTGACTTGCTTTTAATGATGTTCTACAATTAGGATATGTTTTTAAAAGTCATAAAGGTGTTAAGTCTAGCTTCTTGGTACAGTGATGGTGATTGTAATTCTTGCATTAAGGGTTGTCATTTGAATTTAAAAGTTTTAATATGTATCTGTTTTAAAACAAGCAGCCAAGAGGCAATGAGTGACACCTAGCCTTGAGATTTCAAGGAATTTTTCAAAATGCAACTAAAAACTGAAGTATAAAATATTAAAAGAGAGATTAATAAGAGGCTTAAAATTAGGAATGTATTTCTGGATATAAAGTTTAAAAGTAAAATTGTTTTTAACATTTGCCTCAATGTACAAAAAGGAAAAATTAGAATTACCAAAATAATTGCTTAATTGCTATTTCAGTTTTCTCTTATAGGTTTTTGTGTAACAGTTCCAAGCAGGCCCACAAAAAGGAGTGAGGATTCTTGCAAGTTTATCAGATGTAACTTTGGCTCTTAATAAGTTCCAGGTAAGAGCATGCTTAAAAGCTACTTCTATGTTGACCACCTTGTTGCTTTTAATTGGAATAAAGTGGCCATTTGTAGAGACTCATTGATCTTCAAACAGGAAACTTCAGTTTGAAGCCAGCCCGGGCAGAGGAGGGTCCCTGTGAGATTGTCATCTCTAATTGGCCAGCAGAGTGCTGAAAAGTGGAGCTGCTTTGAGCTCAAAGTGGCAGAGTGCTAGCCTTAAGCTGGAGAGCTGAGGGACAGCACCCAAACCCTGAGTTCAAGTCCAGCAACCAATGAAGAAAAATGCCAAAGGTGCATTTATCCCAGCATGGAGACAGGTACTCTGGGGACCTTGGCAATGGTGGAGCATCCACAGGCAGTAAGCCACTGCTTGGATGGCAGAAATAATGTCAGATCCTAGAGTCATTTGTGCGTGGCCCTTCAAAGTTGGTCAGAGCCAGGAGGTCATGGGAAGATAGTTTGTAAGCATGCCTAATGTCCATGACTATCTACCTTGTAAGGGACAGGAACTTGTCAGTCCTCTGTGATAGTAGTAAAAAGCTAAGTTGTAAAATGTGGGGATAGTTTAAATCCCAACCCCTGTATGTGCCAAAAGCCCTAATTGGCAGTAACTTTTGAATGACACCATCTACATAAAATTCATCTGTTCAGAAAAAAAGTTTGTAAACCTGAAAGTGTGTCCCTACTGACATCTGTCTGAAGGCCTGCACAGGTAACTTAGTCATTATTAGGGTCACTAGAGATCAGGTTCCTAAGCTATCCAGAAAGCTGCTTTTGCAAACCAGAGTGCTAAACCAGCTACATCGCTGTAACTGGAGAAAAGATCTGTGCATTTGTCAAAAGTTAAAATATTGTTCTTAATGACATCTAACCCTGGTAACCTCTTTGTCAAATAGGCTAAGGTTATAGTTTCCTGGCTAGGTAGGCAACACCCCTGAGTCAGCTTGAAGAAGTTACAGAAGATGAATCTTTTTGCCCATCATCCCCTTTTAAGATCAAGGGACTAGAGTCACTTTTGAAAAAAATGTGACAAAATAGACAAAAGGAAAAGGCATGGGAAATAGTGGAAAAATCCTAGCCTTATTAAAAGAACTATCTAGTTTTAAAAAGTTGTCATCTTGGTAAATTGTCCTAGGCTACTGTCTAAATGGTCTTAAAAACTAGTGGGGTCACAGCCTGCCAAGCCTATGTAATGTATCCTTAACCAGTCTGTGTAGAAATTTGCAGCCAAGCACGAGGTGTGACAGTCCCTTGGAGCCACTGAGAGACGCTGTTGCTGTTGCTGCTGCTGCTGCTGCTGCTGCACACCCTAACGGGTAAAGTTCAACGACAGCCTGACAGTCACCTGGAGGAAATCGACATCGTCCATCACCGGGACCACCTCCACCGTGGAAAAAGTAGACTATAAACCCCTGCCTAATTCCATCACCTGAGATTGCTTCCTGGTGGAAAACTGTTTTGAGTCTGCTAAGACTAAGATCTTGTAGGACATTCTTTTGGTGATATCCAGTAACCCTCTCTACTCCCACAGTGGATACTGGGGATAAGGACATCACTGGCTCATCTTAGGCACTTCAAGGCATAGGGACTGGAAATCCACTCTATAGTCACAGCCTAGTTTGGCCCTGGTATGGTATAACCTGCTTCCTCCTGGGTGTGTGTTAAAGACCAGTAACCCTACCAGACTAGCCCCTGTGTGAGCCTAGAATTCCATACCCCTTTCATCTCCTTCTACTTTCTGTTTAGAGATTTTTTATCACTGGGGGTAGTTAGAGGAATGAGACCCAGCCCTGCTCTCAGCCTTAAAATCTAGCAAGCTTCTCCACCCCAGTGGTACCTTGAAGCTGTTCTGAGATAACTTGGTTCCACAAGCTAAAGGAAAAATGGGCAGTTTTAAATACAAGCCACAAAGAAACTCAGGGAAAGAAGAGGATAGTAAAGAAAGCCTTGGGAAAGGAATTGGGGGGGGGGGGGGGGAGTGGTCCCCTCTGGATACGAAAAGATTTGAAAAGCAAGAATTGTCTTAAAAAGTTTGTATTGAACTGAAAAAGGGAAGAAGACAAACGCCAGAAAGTTTAAGTATGTAGCAAATGGTATGAGTGTGTCTTAAAAATGGAGCTTATGAGTACAGCTGGTATAAGTTAGCTGTGATATACAGAGTCAGGACTGATGGGAAAACAAAACAAAACAAGACATGTGAGGGTCTTGCAAAACCTGTGCTAGGGGCTTTGCAAACATCCTACTATCAACTTGGACATTGGATGGCTTTACAACCCTTTGGCCCAATAGGTAATGCCTCTGGCCGGACCCCTGATATTGTTCATTCTGAATCTCACAATTGGTCCTTGCATAATTAACAGGCTAGTAATCTTTGTAAAAGAGCAGGTTAATGTGGTCTGGTACCTGTTTTCAGATCTCAGTATCGGACCATAGAAGAAGTTAACATAGAACTAGATATCAAGGGGCCATGATTGGCCCCCTTTGTCAGAGGGGAGAATGTGAAGCCCAAACAAAATATAATATAACCATTTTAGGTTTAGATTCCATCCTGTTAAGGCACTATAACTGAAACTCCAGGAATTGTATCAGCAACTCCCGTTGAGCCCAAACTCCAGGAGCAACCCCCTTTATGGTAAATTCCACTAACAACCCCCTTTATGGTAAATTCCACTAACTACAGTTAAGTTCCAAAAGTTGCTGCAAGATAAAGACCACTTGGTCACAGCTCAGATCATCTGCTGTAGCCAATCATTTCGAAGAGCATCAGCCCCATGAACCAGCCGACCCCCAGTCCCTTGTCGGTTCCCGTCACTGGTTAAACTAATCACCTTGTAGAATTATTTTATGAATTTCCCATGGTGTGATATGATTTGCTAAGTGATGCCCCTGAAACCCTATAAAAACCCTGCTGAAGGAAGGGTCATGGCTCTCAACTCTGACCCCCTGAGTCGGTGATGGTTGTGAGTCTGGCTCAAGCTTGTAATAAATGACTCTCGTGTGCTTACAATAGTATGGGCCCCTTGGTGGCCTTTAGGGATCCTTATCTGGGCATAAGGGAAACAATCAGTGGTCTTCCAATAAGGAAAAGGCCAGGCCCAGATGGATTCACCATGGAATTCTATAAAACTTTTAAAGAGGAACTAATACACGTACTCCTCAAGCTCTTCCATGAAATAGAAGCAGAGGGAGCTATCCCAAACTCATTCTATGAAGCCAATATCATACTCATCCCCAACCAGACAAGGTTCCAACAAAAGAAGAAAACTACTGACCAGTCTCTCCAATGAACACAGATGCAAAGCTACTCAATAAAAATATTAGCCAACAGAATCCAGAAACAAATTTTAAAAATTATACATTATGACCAAGTAGGCTTCATCCCATAGATGCAAGACTGGTTTAACATATGTAAATCAATAAATGTTATTCACCACATTAATAACACCAAGGTCAAGAACCACATGATTATCTCTATTGACACAAGGCTTTTGACAAAATACAACATCCATGCATGTTAAAAGCTCTGGAGAAAATAGGAATAGAAGGAACATTCTTTTTTTTTTTTTTTTTTTTTTTTACGTGAATCACTGTGATTTTATTTGTTATTTTCTCAATAGATAGTATTATAAAGTATTAGTGATACATAGTAATATGTATATGGTTGAATTTTACAACGATATTTTTGAATGTATATTTTGGAATATATATATATATATATATATACAAATATCTATATCTGTCTTAATAGATAGGTATATATACATAATTAATAGATACATATATAAACATATCTCCATTTTGATAGAGATATATGTATGAACATTTATGTAAGCATAGTATACCACAGAGTATTTTTGTTTTCTATCTTTACTATGTGTCCCTTCTCATGTTTCGTCTTTTTTTATTTATTTTTTATTGTTAAAATACTGTACAGAGGGGTTACAATTACATGGGCAAGATAGTGAGTACATTTCTTATCAAGCATTGTAGCCTCCTCCTTTGTTTACCTTTCCCATCCCTTCCCAGCCTCCCTCCACCCCCCCCCACCCAAACCTCCCCCCCCACCAAAGTTGTAAAGTTCGTTTTCGACATGACAACTTGTTAGAAGGAACATTCTTTAAAACAATAAAAGCCATATACAACAGACCAACAACCAATATCATACTAAATGGGGAAAAACTAAAATTATTTCCCCTAATATCAGTAACAAGGCAAGGATGGCCACTCTCTCCACTCCTTTTCACTATAATCTGGAATCCTTAGCCAGAACTATAAGGCAAGAAAAGGACATTAAAGGGAAAGAAGAAATTAAGCCGTCCCTATTTGCAAATGACATGATCCTATACCTAAACAACCCCAAAAACTCCATTCCAAAACTCCTAGAACTAATAAACCATTCTGGCAATGTAGCAGGATACAAAATTAACCCACAAAAATCAGTTGCCTTCCTGAGCACCAACAATGTACAAGCAGAAAGGAAAATTAGGGGAAAAAATCCATTTGCAATACCCTCAAAAAGAAGAAAATGTCTAGGAATTAACCTAACCAATGATGCAAAGGACCTATTTAGTGAAAGCCATAAAAATCTAAAGAAAGAAATCAAAGAGGACACCAGGAAATGGAAATACCTTCCATGTTCATGGATAGATAGAATCGATATTGTAAAAATGGCCATACTGCCAAAAATGATATACAAATTCAATGCAATTCCCATCAAAATCCCAATGACGGGACACTGAAATAGAGAAAGCAATCCAAAAATTCATATAGAACAACAGAAGACCTAGAATAGCCAAAACAATTCTAGGCAAAAGAAACAATGCAGGAGGTATCACAATACCAAATTTCAAGCTCTACTATAGAGCCATAATAACAAAAACAGCTTGGTATTGGCACAAAAATAGACCCGAAGACCAATGGAATAGATTAGAAGATCCATAAATAAAATTACATACTTACAGTCAGTTGATATTCAACAAAGGAGCCAAAAACATGCAGTGCTATTGGTGCTGGGAAAACTAGGCAGCCACATGCAGCAAACTAAACATGGATCCCAGCCTGTGACCATGCACTAACATCAACTTGAAATGGATTAAAGACCTCAACATCAAACCTGAATCTCTGAAACTACTGCAGGACAGAGTAGGAGCAACACCAGAACTTACAGGCACAGGCAGGAACTTCCTGAACAGAGTCCCAGGGGCACAGAGATTGGAGAGAGACTCAACAAATGGGACTACCTTAAAATAAAAAGTTTCTGCACAGCTAAAGACATGGCTACGAAACTAGAAAGACAGCCAACCAATTGAGAAAAGATACTTACCAGCAATATATCAGACAAGGGCCTAATATCCATTACATACAGGGAGCTCAAAAAACTCCCAAATCTATCAAACCAATCATTAAATGGACAAGGGAGCTAAAGACCAACGGCTCAGAAGAAGAAGTAAAAATGGCAAAGAAACATCATCCCTGGCTGTAAAGGAAATGCAAATAAAAATAAGCCTGAGATTCCACCTTACCCCAGTCAGAATTGCCTGTATTCTAAATTCAGACAATGACAAATGCTGGTGGGGATGAGGAGAAACAGGAACCCTATTGTATTGCTGGTGGGGATGTACATTAATACAACCACTCTGGAAAGCAGTCTGGAGGTTCCTCAGAAAACTAAACATAGACATACTCTATGACCCAGCCATACCACTCCTAGGCATCTACCCTGAACCAGGATATAACAAGGACACCCTCACTTCCATGTTCATTGCTACCCTGTTCACAATAGCCAAGATTTGGAAACAACCCAGATGTCCCACTAAGATGAACGGATCCAAACTTGTGGTACCTATATACAATGGAATTTTACAGAGCCATTAGGAAGGATAACATAATGGCATTTGCAAAGAAATGGATGGTTCCAGACCAAATCATGTCCAGCGAGATAAACCAAAATCAGAGAGAAAAACAGCACATGGTCTCCCTGATACTCGGATTCAAGATCCAATGAGATAAGACAAAGTAAACAGGACTCAAGATACCCATACACAGTGAAACCAAAAGAGTTCAGTCTTGGAAGAATAAAACCAAATGATAATACCCAAACACCTCTTCATATGTGCATAAAATAAGATACAGACTGAAAAGAACCCCAAAGACAAGGAAATAAAGGACCTCTTCTTAATTTGTCTTACTGTTTTTAGATAACCCTGTATTCTTTACCTCATATATGGTGTATACATGGAGGGAGGGAATGAGAGAGAAAGAGCTGATACTAATAGCTGATACTAAGCAAAAGGAAAGAAATGTACATATTACCCGATTTGGAAGAAATAGTTTTATTGTTAAAGTTTGTAGAGTTCATAAGCTTTGTAGATTACGATAATGACGATTATCATTAAAATGTTAAAATGTGTCTGTGACTTTAGCTAAATATGACTATGCCACAGTATTGTGAAATTTATGTAGTCACTTAATCTCAATAAAGATTTTTTTAAAAAATAGTTCTTACCAAGTATCTTGCCTGAGCTGGCTTTGAACCTTGATCCTCCAATCTCAGCCTCTTGAGTAGCTAGAAATACTGGCAGTGCTTGACTGTAGACCAGATTTTTAACTTAGGGAGAAAGATCAGTTTCTCAGCAATGAGAAGTTTTGAAATGTTTTAGGAGTTGCTTCTTGCCCACTTGCCACAGATATCTGTGGCATTCATTAGCCAGGGCTATAACAAAATTCTGGTTTGGTGCTATTAATTCACCATTGATAAAGCAAAGGCTCCATCTTTAAAGACAGTAGACCTGCCATACTATCAGAGCACACAGTGAAGGCCCTGCTTTAGTTGCTAAGATCCTACTTACAGAGCTTACTGAAAGGTTAACGATGTAGTCAACATTATCACACTTACCTAGTATGAATTAGGCCCTAGCTCTGAGTTAAAATCCCCACACCACAAAAAATATTATTGGAATCTAAAGACATCTATCTTGATCTCAATTAGCTGTGTCAACTGGACTGTGTCAATATGACCCTTTATTTTCTATGGTAGGTGTTCTCTTCACAATTCCAATGAGAGTTCTTGAAGTCAATCTGGACAATACACACCTTAAACTGCTCCTTATTTCAGCTCCCAGTGCAGCAACAGACACAGCTTTCCACTAGAAATGTTGCAGGCCACTTCTGGTTTGGAAACTGTTTTCTCCACCGTGTCTCTGGCATCATTACCACAGTAAACCCAAAAGATGGCTTATTCCAAACACCTGTAGCTCATGCCTGGAATCCTAGCTATTTGGGAAGCTGAGATCTGAGAACTGAGGTTTGAAACAAGCCCAGGCAGGAAAGTTTGTGAGACTCATCTCCAATTAACCACCAAAAAGCTGAAGTAGAGCTGTGACTCAATAGGTAGAATATCAGCCTTGAGTGAAAAAGCTGAGAGAGGCCATAAAGGAAATGCAAATCAAAGCAATTCTGAGATTCCATCTCACCCAAGTTAGATTGGCCAACATGGTGAATTCGAACAACAAATGTTGTGGGGATGTGGGGAAAATGAATCATATTGCATTGTTGGTGGGGATGTAAACTAGTACAACCTCTGGACAGCAGTTTGGATGTTCTTCAAAAAACTAAACATAGATCTTCCCTACGACCCAGTCACACCACTCCTGGGCATCTAGCCAGAACATTACAAGCCAGGATACCATAATGACACTTGCACACCTTTGTTCACTGTTGGCCTATTAACAATAGCCAAGTTATGGAAATGCCCAGACACCCTACAAGAGATGAGTAGATAAAAAATGTGTTACTATATACACAATGGAATCTTACACAGCCATAGAAAGAATAATTTTATGTCATTTGCAGGGAAATGAATGGATCCAGAATGAATCACATTAAGGTAAGCCAGGCTCAGAGACACAAATGGTACATATTTTCTCCCATATGCAGAGCTAGATCTAAAATACACTGGGACATTATAAAAATATAGAGGACTCTAGACATTTAAAATAGTGAGAAAAAAGGAGGATATCCTTAGGAGAAGAGCACAAAGGTGCATTGCCCTATGTGCATCTGATCATATAAAATAATATTTATCGAAATGAACTGCAGGAAATGGAAGCAAGAGGTTTGTTCTTTGTTGCTGTTTTTGTTTTCTGTCTTGTTTGTTTATCTGTCTTTGGGAGAGTAAGTGGAGACACAGAAATGGAGGGACACGGTGAACCAAATGCAGCACTATGTTGAAAATCAACTATACAATTTGTGGGTGGGGAAAAGAGGGAAAAACTGGGAGAGAGCCAGGGAAGGAGCGACTTTGTCCAAAAATAAATGTACTGTTTGTCTGACTTATGTAATTGTAACCCTTCTGTATATCACCTTTATAATAACAATAAAACATTAAAAGAAAATGATGAGACAGTTCCCTGGCCCTAAGTTTAATCTTCAATACTAGTACCAAAAAAAAAAGATGGCTTATGACTGACTAATGTTCTAAAGTAGTTATATATTTATATATTTTCTGTTAAGACAACACAATTAGAAAAAATATAGGATTTTTTTAGGGCTTAGGATTTAAATTATGGCCTTGCATGTGTTAGGAAAATGCTCTACCACTTTAGATAATGTCTCAACCCCACATCTAAGTATTTTATACTATTAGTTTACTGTATACGATTGTGGCCAACACTTTAGAATATTAGGCCTGGTACTAGTGGCTCAGGGTGTAATCTCAGTTATTCAGGAGGATGAAATCTGAGGATCTCAGTTAAATCCAGCTTGGGAAGAAAATTCCAGGAGACTTCTATCTCCAATTAACCAGCAAAAAGCTGAAATTGGAGGTGTGGTTCAAGTGGTTGGGCACCAGCTTTGAGAAAAAGAAGTAAGGAACAGCACCTAGACCCTGAGTTTAAGCTCTGGTACTCATACAAAAATAAAATTAAATAAAATAGATTATCAAGTAAAATAGTGATAAGGAATATTCTGAATGTTCTGTTATTGTAACTCATACACTGTTAACATCATGGGGTCAATGTCATAATTTATTCTATTTACATTATCAGCTAGAGAATTGTTAAAGTGGACATAGTTTTTCAAACATCTTTAACTTTGCACATAAACCAGAAACAACAGTACAAACTATGAGGTCCCTGTATAGAAACACAGCATTAGGATCCTTACAGATAAACTACACACAATAGTAAAACCATTTAATAATAGTAAAAAAAATTCCAGCTAACCTTGCAAACTCATTTTAAGACTGAAATTCAGGATGTGCTGTTAGATATTTGTAGGTCTCTCCTGCCATCTAATGGATAAATACATGCATCACAGTTCCCATAAGCTTGGTAGATTGTTTTTAATGTTTACCACAAAATTGTTCTGCCAGGAAATTACCCTCTGAATGGTAATTCTATGTCACACACTCACACACAAAAGCTTTAAAGTTACTGGGTTGATTGTAATGTTCAAGTCTTGTATACACTAGTGATTTTTTTTTTTTTTTTTGTCCATGTGTATATGTGTGCTGCTCCTGGAGATTGAAGTCAGGGCCTAGCTCCTTTACCTGAGCTTTTTTTGCTTAAGGCTAGTGCTCTACAACTTGAGCCACAGCTCCACTTCCAACTTTTTAGTGGTTAATTGGAGATGAGAGTTTCACAGACTTTTCTGTCCAGGCTGGCTTCAAACATGATTCTTAAAGCTCAGCCTTTTGAGTAGCTAGCAGTAGCATAAGCATGAGCCACCAGCCCCTGATTCCTGGTGGCATTTTGATGGTGTTCTTCCACTTTTTTCATGTGTGCATGTGTGTATACATGAAGATATTTCTGATGCTCCCCCCTACCTTTTTCAGTCTGGAGTTTGAACTCAGGGTCTTATTCTTTTTTTTGGGGGGGGGGTCCAGTTGTGGGGCCTGAACTCTGGGCCTGGGCGCTGTCCCTCAGCTCTTCAGCTCAAGGCTAGCGCTCTACCACTTGAGCCACAGCACCACTTCCGGTTTTTTTCTTTTTGCTTATGTGGTGCTGAAGAATCAAACCCAGGGCCTCATGCATGCAAGGCAAGCGCTCTACCACTGAGCCACCTTCCCAGCCCAGGGCCTTATTCTTGATAGCCAGACTCTACTACTTAAGCCAGGAACACACTCCTTTTTTTCCCCTTCAGTTTATCTTAAAAGGTCGTACGTTTTTGCATGGCTGGCACCAGCAACCTTCCTAATTATGCCTCCCACTTCGCTGAGGTTATAGAAGTGAGTCACCACATCCAGCTTATTTATTGAGA